AACACAGGCCAGCAGGTGGTGTGGTGGTTAATATAATCATACTGGGGATTAAGACTTCAACACAGAGGCCAGCAGGTGGTGTGGTGGTTAAGGCACTGGACTCCCACATGGCAGACCACGGTTTGAGTCCCAGGCCTGGCAGCCTGCTCTCTTTGTCTCTCTCTGGTCAAATTAGGTAATAATGAATAAAATTAAATAAAACATTTTTTTAAAAAAAGACTTCAACACATAGATGTTGTGGAATCATAATTCATTTCCTAGCATAATCTCTAGAATTTAATTACTAAAGGAATAATAATATATAGAAAAAAATCTTATAAGGGGGGAATGACATGAAACAGAGGTCTTCTTTTGCCTCCAAAGAAGTCAAAGAAGAGGTCAGCAGGTGGTGTAGTGATTAAGGTTCTGAACTCCCCCATGACCAACTGTGGTTCAAGCTCTGGACCAGGAAGCTTGAAAATCACACCAGCATGTGTGGTTAAAATCCCAGGAGAAGATGGAAGGAGGAGGAATTGTGGCATGGCCATCCCCTCAGGAGTGATTTCTTACTTTCCCTCCCTCTGTCTCTCTCTGGTGAGCACACACACCCTACAGCAAAAACCCAAAAAAGAAAAAGAAAGTCAAAAGCAACATAAACTAGGTGAGATGAGTAGAAAGGAAATAGAAACATTGAAGATTTAAACTCGAATATATGAACACTTAGATTAAATGGGCAAACTACAAACATCGTCAGACTGCACAAATAACCAAAACCCAACTACATGTTGAAATACACCTTAAGCATAGGGATGAGAAAGGTAGAAAGTGGGCCAGCAGGTGGCATTGTGGTTAAGGCAATGGATTTCCCATGGCTGACTGTGCAGTTTGAGTCCCGGACACAACGGCCCAAAAATTTTGCTGGGCACATGTGTGTGCACGCCCAAAATTTGGAGAGGAGAATGGAGGAGAAAGAATTGAGACATGACCACTCACCCTGGAGGGTGATTTCTCACTTTCCCTCTCTCTGTCTCTTTGGGCCTTGTGACAAAAATCTAAAAAAAAAAAGAAGGAAGAAAGTAAAAAGTTGGAAAGATGTACTAGGCCAGGCCAACAATGACTGAAGAGATAGTTGAGGCAGAAAGATGGATATTTCTTTTCTTTTTTAGTTTGATATAGAATGCATGTACTCACTGCTGAGAGGGAGAGAAAGCAACCCCCAGGGCAGCTGTCCTGGGGAACTGGGAGGGTTCATAGCTCCAGAGAGAGACAGACACGCACTTCTCTGACCCCCAGACACCGGGTGTGCACTGTAGCAAAGGCACAGAGCCTGACAAGAGAGCAACCTGCTCTTCCCAGAGAGCTCATTAGTTCCCCCCTCGTGCCCTTCTTCAAGCATGTATTGAGCACCAATTTTTTTCTTTCTTTTGTTTTTCAGAGAGGTTTTTGCTATAGGGTGCGTGCGCTCACCGGAAAGAGAGACACAGACAAAAAGCGAGAAATTAACCCCCAGCAGGGATGGTCACGCCGCAATCCCTTCTCCTCCATTCTCCTCTCGGGATCTTGGGCACGCACGTACACGCACCCGGCGTGAGTTTAAGCCACTGGGTCTGGGACTCAAATCATGATGGACCACATGGGAGTCCAGTGACATAGCCGTTACACCAACTGCTGGTCCCTCATTTTCTTTTTTTTAAGAGAGATTTTTGCTATAGGTCACATGAGCTCACTGGAGAGATAGAGGGACAGAAAGCAAGAAATCACCCCCCTGGGAGGATGGCCAGGCCGTAATCCCTTCTCCTCCATTCTCCTCTCAGAATCGTGGGCACACATGCCCAGTATGAGTTTTAAGGCACCGAGCCTTGAATCGCAGTCCAGCGACGTAACCATTATGCCATCTGCTGGTCCCGAGCATCACCTGCTGCTATGTGCCAGGCACTGTTTTAGGTTCTGTGAGTCCTAAGCTGAGTAAGACAGAGTCACAGAGTGTACCTTCTGGAGCTGAGGAAGTCTCCACAGAGGAGGTGACATTTCAGCCAGCTCTGAAAAAGGTGAGCAGGTGTCTGTAGGAAAACAGAGAAGAGGTGGGGATCTCTGGCAAAGGAAGCGGTGGGTGCAGAAGCACAGAGCCATGAGAGAAGGGCAGAGTGCATACCTGCCATTGGAGCGTGGAGCTGGACAGCTGATGCACAGGCAGGGCCAGTTCTATAGGCCTGGCTCGGGAATCAGCCAGGGAGCCGCAGTCTCTGAGATGGCAGACTCCCTTGTCTGGGAGACCAGAGGTTCCCCTCCTCTGGTCTTCTCTTTCTCCCCAACAACCTCGTTTCTCTTGAATGCTTCAGCTGACGAGGCCTCCCGTGTGAAAATATGTCCCTGTCCCAGACACCTGCAGGGAGCTGGCTGTCCCTGGACTCTGTCACCTGTGGGTATTTGGAGAATCTTCATCTTTACTTTCACGGCCCTTTTGACTTGAATTACACCACAAAGGGCATTCAGGAATAAGAACGTCTCTGCTTAGCCTTCAGTGTCCTTGAACTCCTGGCTCCCTCCTCACAGGGCAGGCGTCTTTGAGAGGCAGTGCATTGCCTCCTTTTCTTCCCGATGGGAAAAATCCTGGCATCAGTAGGCACTGAGAGCAAAGCCATTATGGTTCCATATCTTAGTGGAGAGGAACCTTCTTGTCCAGAGGAATGCCTTTTGTCTTAAAGTTACAATGTTTGACCTGGAGAGGAAGTTTTAGATGTGAATCTCACTAAAGGAGTAATACCACACTGAGAGAGAAAATAGATCACTCTGCAGAGAATGTGAAATAAATGTCTTCGCCATAAAGCTTCCAGATGATAAATCCTTTGTTCAGAGATGAGAGACATGGTTGTTGCTAAATTGCAAAGCAGTAGTAGCTGTCATCAGGCAGCTGGACCTGTTTCCCTTTGCATAAATGTTTAAGAGTTGAAAACAGTGGGGGCCAGCAGGTGGCGTGGTTGTTAAGGTGGCTGGATCCCGCATGGCCAACTGAATGGTTTGAGTCCCCCACCTGGCGGTTCGGAAAAACGTGTCAGGCATACATGTGTGCATGCCCAAAATCCTGAAGGGAAAATGAAGGACAGAGGTTGACAGCAGGCCATCCCCCCTAGGGAGTGATTTCTCACTTTCCTTCTCTCTCTCTGTCTGGTAGGTGGTATGCCCTATAGCATAGAGCTGAAAATAAATAAATAAAATAAACAAGTGGGAGACTTGAGTAGTATCTTAACTCCTGGAGTCTTTATAACAGCTTGGAGGTGAGGTATCATCATTTCCTGTCTGCAGTTTCATATAACAAACGCTGTTACTGTTGCTGTTACTAGTCTCTGCCAGGTCCTTACTTAAAGCACTTGAAACAGTAGCATTTTATTCTTCACAGCAACATTACAAAGTAGGACTCCTTCCTCACTTTGCAGATGAAGAAATGGAAGCTTTAGGAGCCAAAAGGTGGCGTAGTGATTAAGGTGCTGGACTGCCATGGGGTCGATTGCAGTTTGAGTCCCAGACCTGGCTGCTTGAAACTCACACTGGGTGCATGGGCGTGCCCAAAATCTGGAGAGGAGAATGGAGGAGAAGGGATTGGGGCGTGGCCACCCCCCGGGGGCGGTGGGGGGGGGGAGGTGATTTCTTGCTTTCTCTTTGTGTCTCTGTCTCTCCAGTGAGCACAAGCACCTAATAGCAAAAAGCTCTCAAAAAAATAATAATAATAATAAAAATGAAGCTTGGAAGAGGGCAGATGATACTTGCCTGCGATCTCATGTGGTAGCAGGAACTAGCCAACACAGTTTGCTTTTTCCCTCTGATCTAAGCCCTATATTCTTTCCAAAGTAGTATTCCATCTCAAAATATGAAAAAAGTAAGTGGGGAAGAGTTTTTTCCCTAGTCAGTGAACTTTGTAAAAGATCTAAAAAATTAAGACTAAATGGGCAGCTACAGAGGCCAAAGTAGGAAAAGAATCAACTTTTATGGAGCCGGGGTTTTTAATTATTATTATTATTTAACTTTATTTATTTAAGTTTGACTAGAGAGGGACAGAGCAAAAGAGAGAGAGGAAGGGAATGTGAGAAAGCAAACCACCAGGTCCAGGACTCGAACCACGGTCAGCCATGTGGGAGGGAGTCCAGTGCACTTAACCACCCTCCACCTGCCGGCCCCTGGAGCCATCATTTGTTATCTCATTGATCCCTGTAATAACCCAATGGCAGAGGTGTTGATACGCTTTAAAGACTGGAAATTAAGGCACGTTAGAGATCTGATCTGGGGAACTGTAGAGATCACGTCCTTGGACTCTTGGGCTCCAGTGTTCTTCCTTGCGTAGCCGCTGAGAAGTGGGTTCCCTTGAGATCTCCCCCCACACTCATTGAGCCCCAGGGCTTGGGGATGACAGCTGAGAAAGACCAGGGGAATACCTTCCGGGCTCTGCGTGTGCTGTCTCGATGGTTGAAATGCCCGTATGTTCTGGGCAGGGGTGAGAGCTGGTGTCTCTCCCACCCCTTGATCACTGCCCCCTCCCACCCCAGCTGCTCCGTCTCTGGGGCCTTTGCACTAACCTGTCATCCACTGGCAGGTGAGGATCAAGCGTGGGAAGGACGGGAGAAGGCCTTGGTCCTTAGGGGTGGTTCTCTGACCTTCAGAGTCTTGGCACGTGCTCGGCAGTGTCTGGAAGGCTTGCACACTCATTAGAACTGATTGCTTTGACTGGTGCAAGGCACTTTCCTGGTCCTTTTGTCCAATGATGTGGCTTCAAAGCCAGACAGAAAAAAAAAAGAGAAGACCATTCGCTGGTATCTTAGTCTGCTTGGGCTACCGTAACAAAATCCCAAGACCAAATGGCCTAGTCCACAGAAACTTCTTTGCACAGAGGCTGGGCAGGTCCGAGGTCAGGAGGTCAGCATGGTCAGCGAGGTAAGAACTCTCTTCCTGGCTTGTAGGCAGCTGGCTTCTTGCTTTATCCTCACATGGAAGAGAGCTTGAGCAAATTTTCTGGTGTCTCTCCTGACTAGGGCACAGATGCCATCATGAGGGCCCCACCCTCATGACCTCGTCTAAACCTGATCACCTCCTGATGACCCCGTCTCCAAACACTATCACGATGTGGGTCTTCAACTTGAGAATTTTAAAGGAACAGGATTCGGTATGTAGCACTTCAATCCATACCGCCTTTGAGTGACTCCCTTGATCTCTTACCAGTGTAACGGGCACTATGATTTTAAATCATAGTGGTAGCCAGTAACAACCCCGGCCTTGTTGTGTGTTCTTTTTCCTCTGTCTTTACAGAGGCCCTTTGGCAGGTTCACACAGGCAGACCAGGAGTGGCCTGTCTCCTCCACTGAGAAAATGGTCCTATCCCAGCCTCTGACAGGCTACCTGCTCTTTCCCCAGTGAGCTCAGCAGCGGAGGGGAGGAGGGAAGGAAGCCCCTCGTCTGAGCATTAATCTAGCACCTGAAGATGCAAAGAAAGTGCCTCCCGGCCCCATTTGAAAGTCTTATTTTTTAGATTTTCACCATAAGGTGTATCCACTCGCTAGAGAGACAGAGAGCCAGAGGAGGGCTTTCTCCTCCCAGGGGGATGGCCATGCCACAATCCCTTCCCTTCTATTCTCCTCCTGGGATTTGGGGCACACGCACACATATGCCCAGCATGATTTGCAATCTGCCAGGTCTGGGACTCATAGCACGGTCGGTCGTGTGGGAGTCTAGCACCTTAACCACCATGCCACCTGCTGGCCTGAAGGTTGTCTTGGATGAAGTGGCTGGTGTAATTTTTAGACTTTTACAAATTTGCATCTTTTTAAACCTCCCGAGTTTGGACCTTGTAGACTCAGCTACTAAACATGGAGTTTCATGGAAGCCATTGCCTCGGTCAACGGATTAGCTCAGTCTTCCTGACCTGGCCGCCCTCCCTTCTATCCTCAGGAGACCCCCAGCTACTCAAGCCCTTTCTTTCTGGGGCACAGACACCTGTGTGCGTCAGGTCGTCACTCTGAGCGTTCTAAGAGGGAGGAGACAGGGCTCCCAGGAGACGTGGATGGCACAGCCCCACCCAGCCTAGGAGGCGGAAGCTCCACCAGTGACCTGAGTGGGCGGTACAAGCCTCAGGACTTCTCACAGGCTGAACTTCTGGTGTTTGACTTGTAACTGCTTCAGAATAGCCTGGACCTAGACTTGTCCCGAAAGTAGACTCTGGTCCCAGCTTCCAATTGCCAGTGCCCCTGCCCGATGTCCCGCTGCTCTGGCACCATTGCCCGACACCTCATGGCTTCTCATTGTTATCTCATTGATCCCTGTAATAACCCAATGGCAGAGGTGTTGATACGCTTTACAGACTAGAAATTAAGGCACGTTAGAGATCTGATCTGGGGAACTGTAGAGATCACATCCTTGGACTCTTGGGCTCCAGTGTTCTTCCTTGCGTAGCTGAACCTCTGCACACACCTCCTCCCCCCTCCGGATGTGAGCGACTGTCCTGGGACTTGTGTTGTCCCTCCCTGCCCTGCGGAAGTGTGCCTGTGATCACACCTGCCAGGTGGCTTATGAGGAGACCAAGCCAAGCCTCCAGGTAGGACAGCTTGGGTGGGGCACCACTGCAGACCTGGCAGTGTGGACTGCTCCAGTGTGGTGGAGAAAGGAGGTTTTATAAAATTGCTCAGTAAAAAGACATGTTTTTCCAGTCCCCTGTGGGGTGGGGGTCAGGGATGAGTTCAAACCAAAATGTTGGATTCACATACAACCTAGTAGTGAAGCCAGCAGGTCCCGTTCAGCTTGGGCAAAGTGACACCAAAGCAGCTGACTCAACCCAAGTCAGGAGGCACTCGAAGGTAACAAAAAGGCCTCCATGTGTGTTTTCTTTCGTCCTTCCCCTCCTTCCTTCCTTTTTATTTTTTTTTTTAAGAATTATTCATTTAATTTTTTTTATTATTATTATTTTAAAATTTGATCAGAGAGAGAAAGTAAGAAAGAAAGCCACCAGGTCCGGGACTCTAACCACAGTTGACCCTGGCTGATCTTGGCACTGGGAGTCCATCACTAACTACCATGCCACCTTCAGCCCCCTTCCTTCCTTCCTTATGCCAGGGAGCATGTGTGCATGTGAGAGGCAGAGAGAGCCCCCCCCACACCCCAAAGAAGCCTGATCCCACCGTAATGCGTTTTACCCCGATTCTCCATTCCATCATGATCCTGGGCACACACATATGGTGTGTTTTTCAAGCCAGTGGATCTGGGACTCAAACCCTGGTTAACCACGTGAAATCCAGTTTCCTCTGTACAATGCTTGCTTAACCACTGTGCTGCAGGACTAGCCCTGCTTTCTTGGTTTACTCTTATCTTCACCCTGTGGAACACATGATCTTTCTGAAATCCAAGATTCAAAGAGGTGAGGGAACTTGGCCATAGCTACATAGTACATCCATGATAGGACAGGATTCAAAAGCAGGCCCGCCAAGGCCAAAGCTCCCAGGGCACTCAGACACCACTGTGCAAAGCTCCCAGGGCAGTCAGACACCACCAAAAATGGGGACAGATAACCGATATTTTAAAAATTATCTCATTTTTTTCTTCTTTGGAGAAAGATCACTCTTCACTCTGTAAGTATGACTGCTTCATGACTCTGCAGACCCTGACAGATGCAAGGCACACAGGACAAAGGGCCACAGCAGGGGCACACTGTCCAGGTAAGGAAGAGGTGAAGGCAGGAGCTGGCCGTTCTCACCCTGCCTGGGTGCCCGGTTGCCCTCAACCCTCCTGCACAACACGTTGCCTCTGCTTGATGTCCACGGGGCTGTGACCGCACGGGGGCCGAGGAAGCTGGGAAGTAAACTTTCACCTTTGCCAAAGTGGCCGTGTCTCTCAAAGGACACATTTGCTCTAAAGAGCACCTTCTGAGACCCAGTGCCTCCTCTTAGAGAGGTGTCACTCAACTTCAGAGAACCCTGGTATCCTCCGGCAATTTAGGATAATGGCAGACGGCTTCCCGGACAGGCCTCTTCTGGGCCAGAGCAGGAATCTCCACTCTGCAGCCTCTGAATTCACTTCTCCTTCCCATGTAGCCCAAACACCCTTCTCTGTAGCCCAAATCGGAGGTCTCTCTGCTGGCAGCTACCTATCTCACCTTCCCAGCTGTCCCCACACTGGGAGCGGAGACAGGCTCTCCGACAGAGGCCAGCCTGTGGGGGGGGAGGGCGGTGGAGAAAGGAGGTTTTATAAAATTGCTCAGTAAAAAGACATGTTTTTCCAGTCCCCTGTGGGGTGGGGGTCAGGGATGAGTTCAAACCAAAATGTTGGATTCACATACAACCTAGTAGTGAAGCCAGCAGGTCCCGTTCAGCTTGGGCAAAGTGACACCAAAGCAGCTGACTCAACCCAAGTCAGGAGGCACTCGAAGGTAACAAAAAGGCCTCCATGTGTGTTTTCTTTCGTCCTTCCCCTCCTTCCTTCCTTTTTATTTTTTTTTTTAAGAATTATTCATTTAATTTTTTTTATTATTATTATTTTAAAATTTGATCAGAGAGAGAAAGTAAGAAAGAAAGCCACCAGGTCCGGGACTCTAACCACAGTTGACCCTGGCTGATCTTGGCACTGGGAGTCCATCACTAACTACCATGCCACCTTCAGCCCCCTTCCTTCCTTCCTTATGCCAGGGAGCATGTGTGCATGTGAGAGGCAGAGAGAGCCCCCCCCACACCCCAAAGAAGCCTGATCCCACCGTAATGCGTTTTACCCCGATTCTCCATTCCATCATGATCCTGGGCACACACATATGGTGTGTTTTTCAAGCCAGTGGATCTGGGACTCAAACCCTGGTTAACCACGTGAAATCCAGTTTCCTCTGTACAATGCTTGCTTAACCACTGTGCTGCAGGACTAGCCCTGCTTTCTTGGTTTACTCTTATCTTCACCCTGTGGAACACATGATCTTTCTGAAATCCAAGATTCAAAGAGGTGAGGGAACTTGGCCATAGCTACATAGTACATCCATGATAGGACAGGATTCAAAAGCAGGCCCGCCAAGGCCAAAGCTCCCAGGGCACTCAGACACCACTGTGCAAAGCTCCCAGGGCAGTCAGACACCACCAAAAATGGGGACAGATAACCGATATTTTAAAAATTATCTCATTTTTTTCTTCTTTGGAGAAAGATCACTCTTCACTCTGTAAGTATGACTGCTTCATGACTCTGCAGACCCTGACAGATGCAAGGCACACAGGACAAAGGGCCACAGCAGGGGCACACTGTCCAGGTAAGGAAGAGGTGAAGGCAGGAGCTGGCCGTTCTCACCCTGCCTGGGTGCCCGGTTGCCCTCAACCCTCCTGCACAACACGTTGCCTCTGCTTGATGTCCACGGGGCTGTGACCGCACGGGGGCCGAGGAAGCTGGGAAGTAAACTTTCACCTTTGCCAAAGTGGCCGTGTCTCTCAAAGGACACATTTGCTCTAAAGAGCACCTTCTGAGACCCAGTGCCTCCTCTTAGAGAGGTGTCACTCAACTTCAGAGAACCCTGGTATCCTCCGGCAATTTAGGATAATGGCAGACGGCTTCCCGGACAGGCCTCTTCTGGGCCAGAGCAGGAATCTCCACTCTGCAGCCTCTGAATTCACTTCTCCTTCCCATGTAGCCCAAACACCCTTCTCTGTAGCCCAAATCGGAGGTCTCTCTGCTGGCAGCTACCTATCTCACCTTCCCAGCTGTCCCCACACTGGGAGCGGAGACAGGCTCTCCGACAGAGGCCAGCCTGTGGAGGAGACGGCTGAGGCTCATTGAAGTCCCCATTCCCCTCGTTCAAAGGCAGCATAATTAATCAGGCAGTAATGAATTCAGGTGCCACCGCTCACTCGTCACCTCGAGAGATAGGTTATCTAAGGGCTGGAATCCAAAAGCGGCAATCAGGTCACCGCTGGGATTTTTCAGTATTGAATGTTAATATTATGTGCAAGATTTATTGGAATTGACCAGAATTTGATCTGTTGATCTTCAGGAATCCCTCCCCTTTTCCCCAAAATGGCTTTGGGGACAGGGAAGCCAGGGAGGTGGGCCTGTACCAACTCTGGCCCCCAATTTAAGGTTTCTGGACTCAGGGTGATACTCTGCCAGCTTCCTCTAAGGGGAGAGTCATGAAGATAGGGCCGGGGAGGGGGCAGTTTCTCCTCACAGAGAAGTGCAGCTCTCCAGCCCTCCACCTGCCGCGCTCAGGGGAGGGCCCAGTGGGGCAGACATCATGGTGAGAGTGTGGGAACAGCCCAGCGCCAAGCTCAGCCGGGCTCATGGGCACTGCAGGCAGGTTGATCTTAGTTCAACTCCCAGCCTTCCCCAGGCACTGCTGGGGACTCGGGGTGAGTCATGGAGCTGGGAGTTGGTATCTGACAGTATAGAAGGCTTAAAGATATTGGCTGTTATGCCGGCTTCGGGCTTGCACACTGTAGGCCCTCAACTGGTATCCTGCAGGTGAGCTTTACACCCTGGGCCAAGCCAGGCCGAGCCCAGCCCTTCCGTGGTTGCACAGAACCATGGGGAAGCAACATCTGATGGGGTCAAGGTGAGGTGTTTGGTTCTCCGCCATCGAGGGGGCCCCAGTCAGTGGCAGCTCACGGCATAGCCAGTTTCAGCATCAGTGGTCCCCCAATACTAGGAGACCTTCAGCAACCCCTGCCATTCCCAAATGCCTGGAACAGGGGCTCCAGGTCGGTGGGCCTCTGACTGGGAAGTCTTCCCAAAGGTGACAGTTTGACCCCTTTTGAGGCAATCTGTGAGAGCCACAGGGTGGCCCAGAGCTACCGTGGCCACCTACAGAGTGAATCCTGTGGTGGGAGACCCACATGTCCCGAACACCTGTGTGTGCTCAGGCAGGGCTGCAGCAATGATCTGAAGACGTGCAAATGCCCAACAGGCGTGTGACAAGCTGCTTAGTGTCACTAATCATTGGGGAAATGCAAATCAAAACCACGAGAGATCATCATCCCACAGCTGTTAAGACGGCTGTTGTCGGGCGTGTGAGCTCACTGGAAAGAGACAGAGAGACAGTGAGGGAAAGTGAGAAATCACCCCCTGGGGGATGGCTACGTGGAAATCCCTTCCCCTCCATTCTCCTCCTGGGATTTTGGGCACACATGCACACACACGGGGCTACTACCTATCTCCAAGAAAGTGTTTTTGTTTTGTTCTCCTTTTTTTTTAGAGGTGTTTGTCTTAGGGTGCATGCACTTGTCAGAGAGAGAGACAGAGACAACAAGAGGGAAAATGAGAAATCACCCACCCAGAGAGGATGGCCATGCCACAATCCCTTCTCCTCCATTGTCCTCCGAGGATCTTGGGCATGCACGCACATGCACCCGAAGTGAATTTTAAGCCATCGGGTCTGAGACTTGAACTGTGATGGGAGTTCATTATGCCATCTGTTGGCCTCTGTTTTTGTTTTTAAGACAAACTATTCTTCTCTTATTTTATTTTTTTTAATGGGCAAAGAATACGAACAGGCAATTCATAGAAAGGGCATGAAAAAATGGCTTGTAACTGTATCACAGGACATAAAAGTCCAACCCGACCAAATCCTAAGGGAAATGCAAATTGAGTGCAGTAACATTTGTCACCCATCAGATGGGGGAAAATGTCAAAGTTCATAGTTCCAAGTTCTAGCAAGGATGTAAGGATGCTGCTCTCCGAGGCTGCTGGTGGGCCATGCATTGGTGCAGCCTCTCTGGGGACTGAGTGGTGTCCTTTAGACCCAGAAATGCAATGCTGCAACCTAGCAATTCCCCTTCTGTCTTATCCACCCTCCAGAAACATACGTGCACCAAGACCACATCACCCAGCAGCAGAAGCCTAAGTCCCCATCAATATCGAAATGCCTAAAGAGCTTGAAACATCTTCACAGCATGGAGTTTTCTTTGTCCATTTTTTAAAAACTGAGTTGGACCTATATGTATGCAAATAGACCTCTAAGAGGTATTGTGGAGTAAAAAATAATACAGAACAATATGTATTGTTGATGTAAAAAATAAATTCAACGAAACTCATGAATAACAACGGATAGTTTCAGCAGAGTCCAATTATGTTGCAGAAACATGGCAAAAAGGTCAGAATAAATATGTACTAACTCAGTGCTTGTTTCTTGGGGGGTTGAGGGGGGAGCAGTCATGGGTTTTAGGGAATCCAGGGAGATTTTAGCTTTCTGTATAGTCTTACAGGGTATTTGGAAGCAAATGGGTTAATGTATCCCATGTAGAAGGGAAGTTCATTTTTGAAAGAGGTTTGGCTAGGGGGAAGAGCCTGTGCATCTAGGGGCTCTTGGCATAACACAAAGTGAAAAGCTGAGAGAATGGCTAAGAAGGAATGCGAGTGAGAGGTGCGTCTAGCAAACACCCTCTGGCGCTTGCTGAGAGGGGGAAGGGAGGAGGAGGGTGGAAGCCAGGGAGCCTGGGTGCCCAGAAGGGCCCACCAGGCAGAGAAGGTGAAAAGCCGGATTCAGGCAGAGCTGAGTGCTGGGGATTGCTCTCTCCTTGGTCCAGGTCACTTTTCGGCATGCTGGCAATGCATTGCTTGATGCTTCCGTTTCCAGCTGGGACAACCATATGAGGTTCTTCCCACAAGCTCTCCCATCCTTCCTTTAAGCTGGAGATCTGTTTACACTGCTGCTCAGACAGGAAATCTT